ACTTCAGTCTATCATCCGCAGACCGATGGGCTGGTTAACCGAACCCTCAAGGCTATGATAAGGAAGGTGGTAAGTCGGGACAGGAAGGATTGGGACACCCTACTACCTTACCTTATGCTCACCACTCAGGAGGTACCTCAGCCCTCACCTGGGTTTTCACCTTTTGAATTATTATATGGGTGCCACCCCCGTGGCATATTAGATATCGCCAAAGAGATCTGGGAAGAAGAACCCAATGAGGGGAGAAATATAATAGAGCATGTAGTGCAGATGCGAGACCGGATTGCCCGGGTCACCCCTGTTGTACGGGAACATTTGGAAAAGACTCAGGAGGCCCAGCGAACCCATTACAATCACCAGGCAAAAGTCCGACAGTTCCAACCAGGGGATCGGGTGATGGTGTTGGTACCCACGGCAGAAAGCAAGCTTTTGGCCCAATGGCAGGGGCCCTATGAGGTGGTTGAACCCATGGGGGATGTAACCTACAAGGTGTGGCAGCCAGGACACCGGAAACAGGAACAGATCTATCACATTAACCTCTTAAAGCCTTGGCACCAGTGAAAGGCATGTTTAGTGGTCCAAGAGACCCCAATCCAGGGAAATAACCTGCTGGACCAGATCAGGATATCCACTGATCTGATACCAAACCAGAAGAAGGAAGTAACTGAGATGATCAACCGATACCAGGACGTGTTTTCAACCAAACCAGGCCGGACCACTGAAACATATCACCACATTATCACAGACCTTGGGGCAAAGGTAACTTTAAGGCCCTACCGGGTCCCAGCAGCGAAAAGGGAGGAGATCAAGGCGGAGGTAAAAAGGATGTTGGAGCTGGGAGTCATCAAAGAGTCCCACAGTCAATGGTTGAGCCCGATTGTGTTGGTGCCCAAACCCGATGGCACCACTAGGTTTTGTAATGACTTTCGCCGACTGAACGAGATATCCAAATTCGATGCATACTCCATACCCCGGAGCGCGGAAGGACCCCTCCGCCGCCGAATTGCTGTCCCCTAAATCCTGACACCCTAGGCAACCGCCTAGATCACCTAAATGGAAGCACCAGCCCTGTCTGCAGTAACCCCGTGCTTATAGCCCCAGACTTCAACAAAGAATTTATTCTACAAACAGAAGAACAGGAGGACTTGTGGCACCTCCTGTTCTTCTG